AATAGTTAATACTGTACGTTTACGTGACTTGAAAAATTGTAACTATAAAAAAATATACTTTTTTGAAAAGTATTTCAAAGAGGAGAACAAGCCTTCCAGTTTTGCTTCCCATATGCCCTCTTCCTCCCTTCCCCCATAGCAATGAGTTCTTGATTTTTAATGTATCTTTAGAAATCTGAAATGGCAGTTGTGATCACCGTGTACAGTCTTATACCAGCTTCAATAGCCAATTTACTTCAATAGTACTAAGAAAGCATTGACAAATATTAGTGGCAAATGATGGCATTTTTAAGCCACTAGCCTTTCACTTTAATTGGACAGCAATTACTAAAGCTTATTTCTCAAAACACTGTAACCTAGCCAATGTTTTGTGGTTGAATTACCAAATTTTGGTTGATAACACATTTGAGTGTACATGTGAATTGAAAAAAATACAGTATTCTTTAGCAATGGTTGTTAAAATATATTAAATATAATTATTAAACACGTTTGAAGACCCACGTAGCTCAGGTTGAAAGGCACTTCCCTTTAAATAGATTGAATGTTTGGGACTATCATTTTACAGAGGCACTTTGACTGTTACCTCGCATAGACACTCATGTTCCCCAGACTCCTAAAGGAATAAAAAAACAAATGCCAACAGATAATGGGTATGAGCAAAGCAGAGTAACAAATCCTAGCTCAGCAGGATGGTGAATCCCAACCGACACTCAGGGATGTTGCTCTCCCACCTGGATGGCTGCCCACCCGTGGCTTCTCCCTCTCCATCCTGTTCTGCACTCTTTAATAGGAGCAACCTTTTCCAAATTCAATTCTGACCACTGCTTCTGCTCCTCAAAACCCTCCGCCCCATCTTGGGCTCTGTTCTTACACTTCATCCTTCCGTGTTTCTTTCCACAGCTGTCTCCTCACTCCCTGTTCTCCCCAGGAGAGAGCAATGCTTTCAGTTGCAAAGGACAAGGTGGTGGCCCCTAAAACATACCCCTGCAGCCTTGCCCTCTGTCTGCAGCACTAGACTCACACACCTACCAGACATCTCTGCTTGATGCTCCTCAACGACCTCAAAGCTGCACGCACTTGCCGGTGCCTCCTCCCCCTCCCCCCCATGCCTCCTGCCTTGGTCTCAGTGTGGTGAAGGGCATCCACCAGCTACAGAAGCAGGACCCTGGGAGGCACCCTTGACTTGGTCTGCACCAGATCTGGTCTCCCTATTCTCTCTCACACCAGCCCAGTTCCCATGTCACTCCTTTACTCACTGGTCATCTCCCCCTCTTCTTTCCCTGGTACAACAGCTTCCAACAGCCTTGACTTCCTGTCTACTATCTCAGAATTCTCCAGTCCATTCTTCACAGCCAGCCAGAAGCACTACTGGAAACAAGGAAGACCAGGACCCTCTCCTCCCGGCTCCTCCAGGGCTTTCACCCCACCCCACGTACCCTCCATCTTTATGCCCACTCCTCTGCCCTGACATGCCACGCTCCAGCCACCCAGAACCACTGTGACTCCTAGAGCAGCCAGGAGGCTCTGTACCTTGTCTCTGACCTTGATACCTGCTCTTCAAGGTTCTCTCCTCCTCATCTCTGTCTGATATGACTTGTCTTGGGTCCCCCTCTAGCAGCACCTCCCCCACGAAGCCTTCCTTGACTATTCTACCGTGTGTCCCCTTACAGCCTTTCCCCCACTATAGCTATAGTCATGTCTCTTTGCCCATGTCCCAGTAGAACAAGGAAGTACTCAAGGGCCCAGCAACTTCTTATTCATCCCCTGTAGTAACTAGCACAGTGTCAGGCACACGGTAAGTGCTCGATAAATGTTCGTTGGGTGACTGGATGAACACAGGGTCAGTGAGCTATTGACACAAGGCCTGTGAACTCAGACCTAGATCTCTGAAACCTCTGCCCTCTCCAAGTCTCTGGAACAGGCTCTATTTATTTTCAGAGAAGATTTAGGACACAGTAAAATCACAGGAAGAATTCTTATAAACAACTGCCTCCCTCCAATTTTAGGAGTGACACAAAACGCCTTAGAGCCCAGATGAGGACAGCTGTGGGCTCACGCAGGTAGGGGCTTGGACGGGGCCTGTGTGAGGGTGAAGGGAGGGAACCCCCAGCAGGCGCTTCCTTTGCCCGTGTGCCCACCTTGGGCAAGATTGACTCCTAAGTTTTGCCACTATTTTCGGGACTTCCGCGCGGCGCCCTCTAGTGGGCAGAGTGCTCTACAGAAGGCGAGGAACCCGGGATGCGGCACGCGCCTTGCTACCACCCTCTCACACCCCCAAATTCCTAGCCTCTTGCCATTTAAGTCTTGGGTCTTAGGAGGGCTCGGCCCAACTGCCAGGAGTCGGGCTTGATTGCTTTTTGAGCTACAGCGCGATGAGGTGAGAAGAGCAGGCGTTGGAGCCAGGCGACGCAAATGAAATAATCCCTGCTCTGCCACCTAGCAGCACTGCGGCGGTGAGATCACCCGAGCCCTGTCACGGCGGGGGCGGGCCCAGCTACCTGGCAAGACTGCTGTGAGGGGACGTGCTCTCTTCCAGGGTCTGGCATACAGCAGTGCTCAATAACCCCAGACCTTTTGTCACCGGGGCTGGCCCCGAGGCTGGTGCTTGCTCCACGCAGAGCACGCATGCACGCCACATGCTTTTAGAATAAAAACATTTATTCTTGGGAGCAGAAATGCGAAATGCAGCCAGTGACAGGGTCCTCCCTCCCGTGGGTGGGCGCTTGGTGGGAGGGAAACGCCCGGCCAAGGCTGGAGGTGGCCTGGGTGCACTGAGGTGCAGAGAGACCAGAGAAGCCGTTGGAGACGCTGGGCTTTCCTCCCTCTAAGGTTGGTGTTCAGGAAGGGAACTCCTCTCTTAAGCAAGGGAAAGGGGGCCTTGAAAGAGTTAATCTTGGAAACACTGTTGTCCCCTCGCCCACACCCACGCCCACGGACTGGGATGACCAGCCAGCTCTGGGCAAGTGGCAGGGGTAGGAGGAGCCACAATGAACCACCAAGGCAGGTCATTGTCCTGTTCCCTCGCCACCAGCCACAGACGCTATGGAGCCCTTGAAATGTGGCTAATGCAACCCAGGAACTGATTTTAAATTTAATTTCATTGCAATGTAAAGACCGATACCCAATTAAGTTATAGGAAAACCCTTAAGTATATTTGCAACAAATTGAGGATGTGAATTTAACTGTAAATTTAACAAAATCTAAAGACAGACCAAGTATTTCAGATAAAAATTGAATCTCTGAATTGGGTTGTAGGCGTAATTCTCACAGGATTTCAAATATGCAAATGTCTCGTTAAAATTGTTTTACATTCACAGATGAAATGATGTTATTTTGGACATATTGAGCTAAATAAAATATATTATTAAAATTAATGTCACCTATTTCTTTTTGTTTTTCTGACGCGGCTACTAGAACATCTAAAGCTACACGCGCCTGGCATCAGATTCCTCTTGGGCAGGGCGGGTCTCGACTCACCAGAGGTCCTGTTCCCTGTGACCGCCCGCTCAGGCCTGGCCATTTGGCCTGCTGCTCTGTCTTACCTGCTCCTCAGTGCTGACTGGTGCCGAGGCCAGACCAGGCACAGAGGCTGAAGGTGAGATCCACTCCTGTCAGGGAGCAAGGCACTGAGAGCGGCTGTACTGGCAGCCCCGATCCTGTAGGGGGCAATGTGCCCAGGATTGTAGGTGGTTGGAGTGAGAGGCATCTGGGGCTGGGCAATGGTCCGAGGCAACGCCCTGGTCTGACCTTGGCAGCCAGTGAGAGAGAGAAGGGACTCAGGGGGACAAAGCAGAGCCCCCGTTTCTACAGCCAGGACTCAAAATGAGCGCTTGGTCACAAGGACGAAGCCAAACACCTAATTACTGCAAATAAGTGCAGCGCAGGACAGCAACAAGCTTGACTTGAGACTTACCGTCTAAACTGCTACCTGAGGGTGTCTGAATTTCACAGGTCAAGCAACAGGCAGGTCTGCAGCAGGTGCCCTGGCTGGGGCTGGGGAGTTCAGGGTGGAAGCCAGGCAGGGTGCCCCTCTGTCAGCCCCAGACAGTGCCCAGCCTGGGTTTGGACTTGAGCTTGCTCACTCCGGGCCCCTGTGATCCTGGCAGGGTCCCGCGGGGAAGGCTCTGCCTCTGCTCCCAATTAGGCAGCCCAAACATAACGCCACCGGAGGGCTCGGGCTCAGGGGCTAAAGGCACCGGAGGGATTCCTACAGGATCCTGGCTGCCCACCCTGCCTGGTACCCCATTTCCCTTGCACTCCAAGACTATACAAGGGGCAGGCAGCCCAGGCCAAATTCCATGTCCGTCTTAATCCCTGACTCACTAAAACACAAAACCAGGTCAGCAGGGGTTGTGCGGCCCTTGGGTACAAACCACCAGCTCCTCCTCTGTGCTGGCTGCGTTTGCTGCCCAAGCAGGACCCAGCGCAGGCCTCCTGACCATCGGGCGCCAGGCTGCGCGTGGCTCTGCTGCGCTCTGAAGTAGAGGCTGCTTTTGAGTTCATGTGGCTGTCACCTCCCTTCCCCAGCGACACTGGGTCCTGACTCTGTCAGGGTTAGGAGGGGGTTTGTTGAGGTCATGGTTTCGGGGGGCTCAGCCCTGGGGCCCTTTGCAGGTTTGCCTCAGTTTTGGCTGGGCAGCCGGGGAACTCCTCCTGTGGGGCTGGCCCTGGAGACAGACTCTTGGAGAGGAAACTGACACATACATTACAAAAGCGCTCTCTGAGACCCAGTGGAACCCATGTTCTCTCGGTGAACATGAGCGTGTACACACACCGACATGTACCCCCATTGAACGCCAAGCTAAATCCTATCTTTAAAAATCTTTTTAAATATTGACTTTCCAACTCCAGCCAATAAAGCTGTGGAGAGAGGTCACTCAGGGCAGGACCAGGGGACTTTCAGGCCAAACTGTTTCAGAGGGTCCCACCATGAGCCCCCATACTTGGCTCGCAGGGGCTCCTGCAAGGAGCACCTCCAGAGAATAAAGGGGGAGACCCATCCTGTGTTTGCTTAGACCGCAGTGAGGTGCTGTTTGGCTTTATTAGATCCAAGGAGTTATCCGCTCAGTCAGAAGCACTACGACTGCCACTTTACCAAGATTAGTACCCCCGGGCCCAGACTGCGACCTGCCAGAGGCCCCTCGCCCACGGCTGCTGCTACCACTCACCTAACCCGGGGAATCCACCCTCAGACAGGCCCATCCCAGCTGTCAGACCTTGTACATGGCCCTTGGAGCGGAGACCCACCGCCACGGTCCCTCCCGGCACCTAACTCTTCTGTCTGCTAGAGAAGAGCGACTAGTCTGTTCCTGAAGGCACGGCCGTGTCTCACGGAAGCCAAGATAGGCCTGGAAGAGCCTCAGTCCCGTCTGCGTCAGTCGGGAGGCAGAACCTAAAGCGTCGTCCAGAAAGACCTTCTCTCTTCAACTATTCACAGGAAATACTGAAGGTAATGCAAAAAATGTGCAAACCACCCGTTCTTTATACCTGAGGCTCGGGCACTCGGATGCCCACCAGGACCGGGACCAGGCAGGGGGCCTATATAAGTGAAGGGCAGTGGGGGGGCTTGGGAGAGGGGCCCAAGTCGGGGGGTAGAGATGATGGCACGCGCCATCCTCCACCCAGAAAACAAGCTTTTTAATATGTGCAATCTCCTAGGTTTCGAATATTGACAATGAACTCCTAAGTTTTTAAATACAGCAGAAGCTGCTGCCTTGTGGCTTCTGCCTTAGACAATTTTCTAACTTAAGAAAAGCTCCCTCCCTGCCCCAAATAATACAAGTCTAACCAAATCATTACAAAGAAATTAATGGATAAATAGAAAAAACATAGCAGCTTCAACGACACCAGTCCCTCTACTTTAAAACAAAATCAGCAGTAATTCATCGAGTTCATTCTTGTGTAGAAGGAAGCCAGACGGGTCCTTCGACTGGTGAGATAGCTTTGCATTATTAAAATGACACATGCTGTCAACCCACCGCAAATCAGGTGTCCTCCGACCCGGCCTCCCACCAGCAGGGATTAGGCCCCCTGTTGCAGAGGCTGAGCTGAGGCATAGAGCATTAAGGGGTGGTCTTTAACATTGTCTCTCAGCGGCAGAAGGTCTCCCATTCCACATTTTGGCACCAGTCACACAGAGAGCAGAAATATCTCGAGGAAGCGACACAGCGCCTGGCAGGATGCTGGGCAAACGGCAGGCACAACTGCACGTCTGCTGGGTGCATCAGGCGTGAATGAATGAAGGTAGCCTCTTCCCTGAGGGAGTACTTCCTGCGAGGGACAATCAGGAGCTGTCCTCGCCATTCCAAAGGCTGGCTTTCTCCAGGGGCAGGTGGGGAAGACGAGGGAGGTAATGAAGAATTCCCTCTCTGAGTGAACAGATGGCCTTGCTGGCTTTTAAAGGAACATCATGGATCCTGTCTGACTCACGGAGAAAAAAGGGATTCAGGCACTCAGCACTTCCGGGCTGGGTCGGCTTTGACCCTGGGGTAGGACCTGAGATTGAGAGCAAGTCCTATGCCCTTGCATTAATCCACAACCTAACTTTCCTTCTCTTTGGTGCTGTGGACAGTTCCCAACATCCTTATTCTTAAAGGACTTGGCACTGAAGATCAATGTCAACATGAGGAAGAAAGAAAGACCTTTCTTCTCACAGGTGTATAAGGCTATTTCTGTCCTGGGCCAGCAGCACACGGAGCTCCTTGACTCTGGTCCCTCCAGCCCAGGTGGCAGTGCAGTCTTTATTCTGGCTTGTTCAGGACCGATGGTCCAGGAAGCCCAACCCTCTCTGCCTGGGAGACTCTTCCTAGATTTTGACAGGGAGAAGACATGGGCTCCTTCAGAGTTTCTCAAAGGTGCCATGACTGGCATTTTGAGTGGAGTAATTCTATGCTATTAGAGTTTGTCCTACGTAATGGGAGATGCTGCTACATGCCGGGGGCAGCCCGCATTTCTAGTGCTGCCTGCGGCATGGGGATAGCCTGGTCATTGACAGAGTGACAGGTCCAAGACCCGCCTCCCCCTCTATCTGATGATTTCTGTCTGGTCCACAGTTCTTTCCAGCCGCACCTGAAATGATGGATGCTCACACATGCAACCATGGGACACCACAGCACCACAAGGCCTCAAAGTAGACAGCCATCAATGGCATAGAGAAACCAAGGCACAGAAAGAAAAAAACCATCTCCTGACCCAAAACAGCGTGACCAAACATGAGGGGAGGACAAGTTCCCAGATGGTCCGTTTTCCTAGGTCCGGCTTCGCTTCCTAAGTCCCGCCGCCTTTCTGGGAAACGGTCCATGCAACCGCTCCCTGGAAGGTGGGGCCTTTGTACTGCCGGCCACCCCACGGTCGACCTGGAGACCTGGGGGCTCAGTGATGAGGAGTCAGCCCGCAGTCCTCAGGTCAGAGCTGGGCAGCCCGGGGGTCCAGGCTTCATCTCGAGTCTCCAGCGGGCTCCGCGGGAGCGTGGCTGGCGCCGCGGCAGGCACCTGGCGCCTTCCCGGGATCCTCACAGTCTCCGTTGGGAAGCACGACGGTCAGCGCCAGCTCCTCCTCGGGCTCCCGGAGGGTACCTGGAGCACAAGAGAGCGGGTCACCCCATCCGAAGATCAAGTGTGGCAGTAAGTGCGCTAGGAATGAAAGGGAGGAAATTGGCTCCAGTGACTATCTACTTAAAACAACGACAACAAAATACGTATCGAAAGCCTTAAAAATGCACATACCCTTTGACCCGGCAATTTCACTTCTAGGATTATATCCTAAGGAAATAATTAGGAGTAATTAGTGGAAATGCTGCAGCCATCTTGCTACCAGAGCAAGGATGAAACAACGCAAGGGTGGCCCTGCAGAGAGAAGGACAGGACCCGAGTCCCGTTGGCCGAGCCTGTGTGCCGGCTCCTGGTGCCAGGGCACTGTGCACCGCTCGCCCGCGCCCTGCACACATGGCCAGTGCTCTGCGGGCATTGGCCCTCTCCCTCCCTAAGGTCCCTGTGCCTAATCCCCAGCCCCCGGCTCTCAGAGGCCAGGAAGCCAACGCACTCACCCTGAGCTGGGCCACCGGGGGAGGTTGCGTGTGGGTCCTTCCTCCGGCTCCAGGGACCCCAGGAGAAGCAGGCCAGCAGCGCTGGGAGCCCGGGTCTCTCCCAGGCTCCTTCCACTAGAAGGAACACAAAGAGCCCGGGACAGCAGGTCAGACGCTGCTCAACACGACTGAGAGATTTTCTCCTCAGAGAAACAAGGACTTCGACAGTCAACTGCCCTAGTTTCAACTGCCCAATTAAAAACAAACATTCTGATTGGCAAAAGGGGGTGAAGTTTTTGTACTTAAAAAAAACAACCAAAAAGAAAAGGATTGCTTTATATATTTATACGTATTACACCATTTCATTCTCACAAAAACCCTGCGGTGTAGGTACCATGTTGGGGAAATGGCAGCGACAAGAATGACATGAATGAATTACAATGACGTAGCACTAAAGAAAATACGAAAGGAGCCGTAACTTCCCCCTGCTTTTTAGTTCAAACTATTTCTTAATATGAAGAGACTGAATCTCCTTTTGATAATCGCACACAGAACTCTTATACATTGATTCTAGTTTCCTAAGAGCCCCAACCATCCTGCAACAAGGAAGCTGCGACAGTTAAAAAAAAGACTCCAGGCAGCCAAAACACAGAAAACCCTTGTTTGTTTTTCTTTACTTGGGGCTTATTTACTCTTAATTTGCACCCAGTTCTAACAAGATTGGATTCTTAGTTTTTCAACCCAAAGGCAGCTGGGTTAGGTATAAACTGGGTAAAAGGGCATGCCCAAAGGCAGGCAAGCGAAAAGTACCAGAATAACCATGAGGCAGCAAGGAAGGAGACTGGGAGACTTCAAAAAGCCAGACTCGATTGCTAACAAAAACCTTAGCAACGGGAATGTGCAGGCGGCGCTGCCCACTGCAAAAGCCTGGAGGAAATTGGTGGACAACCAGCTACAATTACACTCATGACCTGAAGGCATTAAGGAAAGGTATCATATTGTGTAGTATGCTTTTTATAAAAGTAGAAATGAGTTTAACTTTGTAGAAATTTATTCACATCTGAAGTGTAAACATTTCTTGCGTGAGACTTTAAACAAGGATTCTGCATGCTAGGCAGGTGCTGGGACATGGGAATCGAGCAGTGATTAAACTCATAAGGGAAAGTGACAAAACCACGTGGTAAGGGATTAGAGAGCAGAGGTGGGTTTGGGGATTTCGCTTTTGAACTTGCAAAGGAGTAAGTGGGGGTTAGGGAAGGCTTCCTGGAGGAGGAAGTCCAGTTCTGAATGACGAGATGGGACTGGCCAGGTAAAGAGGCAGAAAGAAAAAGCTTTTCATTCCGGGCAACTGCAACATGTGCACAAAAGCTTAGAAGGTCAGAGAAAGCCTGGCTCTGGGGAATTAAAAACTATTCCTTGGTAATGGGAAAGGGCTCAGAGAATTTTCTAGGCACCATTTCATTGTGCGGGGTGGAAAATTTCCTCCCAGGGGGCCAGGTCAACGAACGGGCTGGCATCCACTGTCAGAATGACACCCAATCTCAGGCCATGCCCCGCCCATTCAGCGTGCTCGTTCGGACTTTCACCTGAGGCAGCGGAAAGGGGTTGGGGGGCGGGGCGTGACGTTTAGGCAGGCGCTACAGCTGAGAGGGATGGCCTCCATCCAGGCAGGCCAGGCGGGCAGGTATGTCTGTGACATCAGCGGTACCAACTCGGCTTGCTGGAAAAGGCCCCCCTGCAAGGGTGGCATGTCTGGGCTGATAACACAGCGGTGCCCCGGAAGGCAGAGCACGGCCTCTGTCTTCACAAGGAGTCTTGGCAGAGGCCGAGGGGAAGGCTGGAAGGCTTGGCGAAGAGCAGGTTGGGCAGGGGGGTGGGGGGGGGCGTTGCGGGGTTGGCAGGGAGTGCAAAGAAGGCTCGCGCATCTCCCAGCTTTGCCAGATCCAGCTATTCTTCATATCCGTATCTTACTGGACACTCGAAAGCTCCTGGGAAACCTTGCGCACCAGGATGGAGGAGATTCTGACCCTTCTGCCGATGGCAGCCGAAAAAGACCCTCCCTGTCCTCCCCACACTTCCGGAGAGCGGGAAGGGAAGGGAGGGAGACGCAGCAGGGGCTGCACAATCAGGGCGGGTAGCCAAGAGGGACTAGAAAATCCTGTGCCCTCAGTCAGCCCCTCACGCCCTCGCCCCACACGTCCAAGTCCCGGCATCTGTCCCTTGCCTTCTTCCTGCGACCCGGTGGCGCTGACACACTGGAGCTTCCGCCACCTTCGCATCCCCAGCTGGCCAGCGTCCCAGGAGCTTCGGGCGCCACCAACCCGCTCCCCCGAGTCCCAATTCATTCCTATTTCCGCTTTGAAACTTGCGCAACCCACGGCTTTCCCATCTCCCCTCAGCTCCCAGATCTTTGACCAGCCGAGCCCAACTCGCTTGTTTGTCCCGTCGGCTTTCCTAAGTCCCTGTCTCCCATGCACTCAGGATCCTCATTGGACAGACTGGACCCCTGGCCCGGGGTCTGTTCCGAGCTCTCTGGGAGGCTCAATGCTAGGCGCCTCCCCGCTCGGGGCCAGTTACCTCGGTGCAGCAAAAGGGGTGGGACTAAAGAGTTGCAACTTGGGGGCCTTCCCCCAGCAGCCGCCGCCTGCCCGCTCCCCTCCCCCCGTTCTCGGCGCCCCCTCACCTGGTCGTGCGGGACCGGCGGCTTGCAGGGCTCTGCTAGCTGCCGCCTGGACTGCCAGGCTGGAGGTTGGGTGGCCGGGACAGTAGGCGGCCGCCTGCACCGGGCCCCCCGCCTGGCGGCCGAACACGGTGCGTAGCAGCGCCTCCAGACGCCGCAACACCGGCGCCACCGAGTCCTCGGGCCCGGCCTCAGCCACCAGCACCCCGACCAGCGCCGCGCCGGCCGCCCGCCGATCGCGCACATCCCGGAGCATCTCCCGCAGGCGGCGCCGCGGCTCCCTGGCGGCCAGCGACGACGCGCGGCACAGCACGAAGACGAGCGGCGAGTGGATGGCGCGCGCCCTCGCCGTCCCGGGTGCCCACCTCGCCCGCGGCGCGCCGGGCCCAGCGCCCTCGGCCACCGCGTTGCCCGCCTTGCCCGCGGCTTGCTCGGTCGGGAACACCGCCCGGGCGAAGTCCCGCAGCAGTGCGCGACTCTGCTCGCGCTCCCACAGCTCGCCCACCAGCAACACCTGCCCGCGTCCGCCCACCGCCTCCACCAGCGCTTGGAAGGGAGGCTCCCCCGGGAGCGCTGGCCGGGCCGGCGGCGCCTCCAGCTCGCGGTCCATGCTCGCTGTCGCTAGTCCTCTGCGGCCGCCGCAGCCCAGCCGCCGCTGCCGCTCTGTCCTGGCGGTGGCGCCCGGCCCAGGGAGGACACGCCTCCGGGGGCTGCGCCCGGCCAGACCCCCAACACGCAGGTCGGGCTCTCCGCGCCCCAGGCGGTAGCGGGGCCGGGGGCAGGGGGCAGGGGGCAGGGGCTTTCTCCCCAGCCCTCTAAAGGGTGGCGCCTCCCACAGTGCTTGTGGCGGGTTGGGAGCAGGGGCAGGGGTGCTGTCTGAGCCGTTCGTTCACCCATCCATCGGTCCATTCATCCATCCAACAACTTACTGAGCACCTACTAGGTGTAGGGCAGCAAAAAGGGGAGGAAGACAGAAAATTACCAAGTGAACAAATACTCCCTCACAAATTAGATCGTTCTGAGACCTGGAGCAGATCTGCCTGAGAAGTCCACGTGGTTTGAGGAGAGGCACTGGGGAGTCAGGGCCTGCCCCTTCCTGCTGCTGTGGAGTGGTGATGGCGGTGGGCGTTGGAGAAGGGGGTAAGGAGGAGAGGAAAGCGAGGAAGCAGGGCTTCTTCGGTTGCTTCTGTCACTTAACTCACATTTTGGGCCTTCAGCATTTAACAAAAACAAATTAAGGGCTTATTATTTCGACAAATACTAATTACCGGCAGGGCACTGCCCTTGGCAGGGGAGAGCATACACCGAGAAGGCTGAGGGCACTGCACCCCGTGGGGCAGAGGGTCTGGGGGCAGATGTGGGGCACTGAGGGGCACTGAGCTCTGTTCGGGGGAAGGAGGAGTCAGGAGGGTGTCAGTAGGCCAGTCCAGAAGCAGGAATGCATTTCCTTTAATGCTAAGGGCCCAGGTGGGTTTTGTCCAATAGAACATTCTGCAACGATGGAATGTTTGATATTATCTGCACTGTCCAATGCAGCAGCCATGAGCCCCGTATGGCTGCTACTGAGCACCTGAAGTCTGGCTAGTGCACCAGAGGGGCTGAGCTTTATATTTTATTTTATTTAAATTGCACGTGAACAGCTGCATGTGGTCATTGGACAGCGATGACTGAGACTCTTTATTTCCTCTCTGTTAGGCAGTATAAACCAACAGTCCTTTAGGCCAACAACATGTTAACACGCAGCTCTCCCCATTAGCATATAACCCCCAGTCTGCTCTCCTGGTTACCCTGTGTCCTGCCCCCTAAAAACTGTGCTGAATGTGTAGGTCCATTCAATAAAACAAAATGTTTTTGAGCACCCACTGTGTGCAAGCAGCGGGCATGCACAAGCAGCCCTGCCCTAGGTCTGATCAGCAGTTGTTTGAGCCAGTGTTTAGCAGGGAGGACCCCATATCTTTGTTGGGACTATAGTTAATAGTGCCTCTTGCCATATTGTGTACTGGCTTTGCCCAGGGCCGAGATGCAGAAACTTGGGAGGGAAAAGCCCAAGAGTTGAAGCAAGAAGCCCTGGGCTGCAGTCGGGGTTGTGTCTCTGCATCGGCTCAATGATTCAGTCGCTCACTGTATTTACTATCGCATCTGTGTTCCAGGCAGCTGGACGGCAGAGGGCTGAGGAAGGAACACAAAAATCAGACTGACTTGAGATTTCTGAACAGCAACACTGGGCTTAAGAAAGAATCGAATGATATTTTTAAAGAGTCAAAGAGAAAGAACTTCGAACTTGGGTTTTGATTTCTAGCTACATTAGCAGGTATTTCAAGGATAAGAAGTTTCACCACGCAGAGCCCCTCTTTGAAACCACTGTTAGAGGAAGCACTGCAACAAGAGAGAAATAAATGCTGTCGGCGTGCTCAACAATCGTGAGCAAGAAGGATTACATCACTCATTTCAACGACGCTTGTCTAAGAAAATGGTGTGGGGCCATGTCAACCAAGCGTGGCCTGAGTGGGCGTTAGCTGAGAGGGCGACAGAGCCGGTGGGGGTCCTGTCAAGTGAATGGAAAGGGACTTGACCCCGTCGAAGTCACCCCTTTGAGGGAGAGAGGCAGGCACAACAGCTAACTAGGGGAGAACTTTCAGCGGTGCTGTTATTTCTGTCCTCCTTCACAAAGCTTGTCTAAAACCCACACACTCTCTTTGCTCCCTGGCTCTAACTTGCAGGTCAATGATTCCAAACTTTCCAGTGATGGCGTGGAGGATGGACCAGAGAGGGGGTGGGTGTTAGGCAAAGGTCAGAGTCCAGGGCCAGTGAAGGTTATCTTTTCCTGCATTATTTACATGGCAAAGGTTCAGGTATTGAATTAACAGGACACTACAAAGACCTTCAACAAAAAGGCCATATGCCAAGAATATTTCTCCCTCCTCTCTGTCCATGCCCTAGAAAACATCGGAAGACAAATAGGCCTTTTCTGAGTTCTCTGGTTTTCAATAAAGATATAAAGTGAAAGTAGGAGTTCTTTTTTTTTCTTCTTAAAATCTCATTTAAACCCTGTAACAACCCTTGAGGTAGGTACTATTGTTATAGCCATGTTACAGATGAAGAAGTGGAGATTCAGGAGGGTTAAGTTTCTCAGGATCACACAGCGTTTGTGATTGCAAAACTTGTGGGCTAACTCACAAAAAGGACAAATCCTGTATGATTCCACTTCCATGAGGCCGCTAGAGTAGTCAAATTCAGAGAGGCAGGACCTAGAATGGTGGTGGTTAGGGTGTGGGAGAAGGGGAGAAGAGGGAGTTATTATTGAATCAGTGCCGAGTTGCAGTTCGGAAAGATGAGAAAGTCCTGGAGACGCGTGGTTGTGATGGTTACACAACAACACGAATATACGTGATGCCACTGAACTGTGCACTTAAACTGGCTAATGTGGTAAATTTATGCTACATATATTTTACCACAGCTGGAAAGAAAAACACAAACCTTTGAGTTAAGCTACTGGACTTGACTGCCTTTCTAGAATGGAAGGAAGGAAGATGGAGGAGGAGATGGAGGAACGGAAGGAAAGAAGAAAGGAGAGATGGGTTTCCTTATTCATCTGTTCAACAACCACTTAAATACCTACTGTGACACAGTCGCGGTTCTGAGAGCTGTGCGGAAACGTCGTGGTCAGTGAGCAAGACAGGCTAAGATTCTGTTCAGTGCCCATGAGCATCTTAGCGTGTGCATGTAAAGATAGATAAATCATGTCGCGGGTGCGAGGATGTTAGTGATTATTTCTACCAAGTATTGGCTACTCGCTGCATATCTAACACGGTGCTAAGCACTCTGCCTGTATTCACACCGCCACCATGAGATAACTGCTATCACTCCTTATCCCCACCATCAGAGGATAAAAAGGAGGCACAAAGAACTTGCCCATATTTGTGTAGATTAAAAAGTATCTGTTTCAGCACAGAGCTGGGTGCATAAACAGGAGGGTTGGAGGCTTCGCTGGTAGCTCTTCCTGGCCAGAAGCCCCGAGGCAGTGCCTTTGTGGGACCCTGCGCAGGTGGGAGGTGGGGGTCAGCGCTCCGCTGATGACCTGGGGACCCATTCTGTCCCTCTGCCACGCCCACAGCACAAGGTGCAGGACGTGAAACTAGGATTTCTGAAACAATGTACCTCTCATGTCCACTCAAGCCGAACTTGGCAGAAAGAATAACAGAAAAGCGCTGATTTGGAAAACAAGGAATCTTGGTCTAGTTGCTGGTATCTCCTTTCTCCAATTTCCTCTCTCCCTCCTTTCCATCTTCCTTCAGCCTTCCTCTCCCCTGCCTTTCCCACCATGCAGATTTGTTTTAGATTAAAAAAAAAAAATGCTATCCCTGGTAATAGCTGTCTTGCTGATACACACTCCTTGTCTAAATTCTTTCACGCAGCTAAGGAGGATGTAAAAAGTTTTTCCTGAGCCTGTTGGGTTTCGATGGCTTTCAGTTCAAAATAATCCACATGCCAAAGGGACACATTGTGGGGTGGGATATTCCGCTCCCCTACATCGTCTACACATCTGCCTGGCCAGGGCTGGCTCCCTGCAGGGCACTGGGAATGCCCGTCCCTGTGACAGCTGGTTTGTGCCAGGGTCGGGCATCTCAGTTCCACCTGAACTGGAGGGTGTCGTAAATGTTTACCAAGGCTGGGAGGAAACGCTGCGAGCCACAGGCCCTGGCTTAGGCCCCTAGTGTGCCCACGCCGGGCCCAGGATGGGTCAGCAGTGTTAGGAGGAGAGGTGGGCGGGCGCCCCAGGGCACGCCTGTCCTGGCTGAGGCAGTTGGGGAGGCAGGGGGCAAACCTCCGTCAGCAGAAACCTAAGCTCACATTGTGCCTGAGCTGGCCTATCCCAGCCCACCCCCACCCATTCGCCAAGGGGCACCTGGCAGAGGAGCCGGGAGGAGCAACTACAAGAGCCCGTATGCAACGTGGTGGGCCAGCCAGCTCTGCTTGGCGTCCGGGAGCAGCGACAAGCTCTCCAGAGCAGGAACAGCATTTCTACACCTTCAGCCCAAGGCCATGTTGGCAAAAGGCAGCCTCAGCAGGCAAATTTGGAAAGGTGCCTGTGCCTGCCACCCCGCCACGGCCTCAGGGTGGCTTCGTGGGGGTCTGGCAGCATCTGAGTCTCCACAGAGCAGGGAGGGGGTCAGCGGCGGACCCGTGCTGTGAGGACATACGGCGGTGACCTTGAAGCCGCTCCACTTGTTTCTCCCTTAGCATCTGCCTGGTCGGAGCCCGTTACAGCCTGAGCAGCTGCCCCAGGCTCCCGCCTCTCGGGAGAATGGCGCTGGCCCAGAGTGGCCAGGGAGTGGCCGTGTCTCTGAGAGCGGAGGGGGGCTTTAGCTCCCCCAGGATGGGAATGGACCCACCTCACCCATCCAGGCACCCTTACCAGTCAGGCCCCTCGAGATCAGAGTGGGACAAAGGATAGTCATCATGGAAGGCATCCCCATTGCTCAGCCAAGGCTCAGAAACGGCCCCCTCCCCCGCCTTTACAGATGATGAAATACAAAGTCAGTGGTGTCCATAGCGGGAACCTGAGGGCCAGCGCTCACCGTGGCTCCCTGCCCTTGCACATTTCTTTCT